ACCTGCACAGGTACACACACAGTCAGGCCCAGTTCTGCCGGAGCGCCCTGAGGAGAAGTCATATGACTGTAATGTGTGAGGTCAGGCTGAAGGTGCTGGCATCCAGCAGACCTTTGACCTCTGACATGAAGATCAGCTCAGGAGGCTAAACGCCATCAGTCCAGTCACTGATTGGCCATTTAATTGGCTGCTGTTGGCCTGTTCAGGTTAGAATGCAGGTGTGTGACTGGTGGAACTGAAGCAGAAGGAGCTGAAGCTCTCATCGGGTCAGTTATAATTCACTTTATTTAAAACCACGTCTTCAGTCACAGGAAATGAATAAGCCTGATGATGTCATTCAAGGACAAAACGGAAACACACACACAAAAAAGGTCCTGACTACTGCGACACACGCACGCACACCCCCTAACCTGTCTGTGCACACACCTGCTGGTCGTGCAGGTAACTTAACACACCTGAGCTACACGCACTCATTGTGTGTGCGTGTTACCTTGCAGAAGGTGTGTGTGCAGGGCAGTGTGACGGGCTCCATGAAGACCTCGAGGCAGACGGGACACAGACAGTCTTCTTTGGACAGCGTAGTCTCCTGGCCCCGCCCCCCTATGTCCGAGCCCTCAACCTCTGACGCCGGAGACATCTTCCTCCTCCTCTTAGACGTTACAGCTCAGCAAGGAAGGACCTAAACAAAGAGGAACTCAGTGAGACAGGTAGTGCTGTACTTCCTCTCTCCAGGATTGAGCTGTCAAAGGAAACGTACTCGATTACTGCTCAATACTTCCCCCCTGTGGCAGCTAGAGCCCGCTGCTGACCTCTGACCCCAAGGTCCGCGAGCCAGTAAACAATCCATTCCTACAACAGCACCTAACGGGGTCAAAGTTAAGCTAGCTCAGGTGTCTGTGTTTCGGAAGTATGCCGTCACGATTACTTGGACTCACCTGAGCAGCCGGGCCGTTTAAAGCTTCCGTTGACGCTGACGTTAGCTTCGTGTTATGTCCGAACTAGCAGCGGTTCGTTGGCGGATTAAACCGCGGAAAAAACAGCGCCAAACTTGTTTTTTCACCCCGGAAACAAACGGGGCTCATGGGAAACTGCCACGCTTTACCTGAAACCAACGGCTGCACGAAGACTGTCTGAGTTTGCCGGAGTTTAACCGACTTTACTGCAGCTAACCAGCTAGCACTGAACACCCGCGTGAACAGGCTGTTGGCACAATGCGCATGCGCTTTGGACCAAACAATTTTCCCTCCCTCTCTCGTCGCTTTCGTCTTCTTCTTCTTCGTGGATTAACCCAATTCTCACGGAGCGCCCCCTGCTGTTCACAGCTCTACAAGCTCAGCGGTTTACTGTAAATAACGTACACAAACCAGAGATACCGCAGCGAACCCATAATAGAATAGCCTTTTTTGTCATTGTACATGTATTTCAAGTGTGGGTGCTCCACACCGACTGTGCATGGAATAAAAATATAATAAGTAAGACATCAGTAATTAATTACAGACAAGAGGAGTGTTTGTTTACAGTTTGAATGGCCCAGGTGAATAAGCTGTTTGTGAGTCTGCAGGTGTGGGACCAGACTGACCTGAGTGCCGTCAGGTGGTGAGCAGGGTGCGAGGGGTCAGCTGTGATGGACCTGGCGATGGTCCCAAGGGGTATCAGAGGGCAGCCATTAATTGTTTTGGGCAGTCTTTAGTACTAAAACCACACAAGTATTGCAGTTAATGTATGATACTTAAGATGTTAAGTAGTAAATCTACTCCCACCACTGCTGTAAAGACGAGTTGCTGAAATGCAGGAGCCAGTCAGGTTTTCTGTCTGGGCTGGTTAATGAGCTCGGAGTGGAAGATTGCTGCCGCTCCTCCTCAGCCTGTGTTTCGAGGATTCTGACAGTTAGAATGACTCAGTGGTGTTGATTAAATGACACAAACATGACCATCCTGGCCTCTGTAAGGTAGAATATTCTTTAATAATAATAATAATAATAATGGATTGGATTTATATAGCGCTTTTCAAGGCACCCAAAGCGCTTTACAATACCACTATTCATTCACTCTCACATTCA